ATGGCAAAGTCCATCGAACAAAAACTAATTATTCATACACATTCACACACCGATGCACAGCATCGGGAGCAATTTGGAGTTCAGTATCTTGTTCAAGGATACTTCGACATGTGGCAGGAGGAGCCAGGGATCGAACCAACAACCTTCCGATTAGTGGACGACACGCTCTCCCTAAGCATGGTGTCTTTAGGGAGAAAAGATAGTGCCATCCTGGCAGAACACACTTGATCACCTTGATCTTGTGTATTTTGGCTAATGTAAAATGTTATTTTTCATGTTTTCATTTAAAGAGGACCTATTATGCTCGTTTTACAGCTTTTCATTCTTATTCTGAGACTCCACTAAAATAGTTTGATTTACGTCCCTATTTATCTTATACTGGCCCTTAATGCAGCCCCTCGGTTCATCCTCTGTCTGAAACAACAACAACAACAACAACAATCTCTTTAAGCCCCCCTCCCAAAAATCCCACTTTCTTCTGATTGGCCAGCTTTGTGGAAGCATGCGAAGAGGCTGCACCCAGTGTTTGTGAATGCTGCTTTGTCCTCTCCCGGTGTGCCCTCGACGGCATGACAGTTTCATTTACTTAGCTCGGGCAATAGCGATACGGGGCACTGTATTTGACAACTTTACTGTTTGTCAGACAACAAATGCTACTTTTAGAAACAATAAGAGATACAAAAAGAAAAAGAAAAAAAAATATGTACAGTTGGGAAGTGGGGAGCTTGTTCCACCATTGTGGAGTCAGGAGAGCATTTTGTTGAGCAGTTGTTGAGACCCCCTTGTAGTGAGGGAGTACCAAGCCAGTTGGCAGTAGCAGAGCGAAGTGGATGGGCTGGGGTGGATGGTTTAATACTGTCCTGAATGTAGAATGGACCTGAGCCATACGCACTGGAGCAGCCACTGGTAGCCGGTGCAGAAAAGTAGTGCAGTGTGGGAGAACTTAGGTAGGCTAAAGACCAACCAGATGGATGAGCTGCAGAGGTTGAATTGTGTTGGCGGACGAGCTAGGAGCAAGTTGCAGTAGTCTGGAGATGACTAAAGCCTGGACCAGAACCTGTACCGAGTCCTGGGAGAGGAACTGCGAGTACCTTATACTTTCGAAAAGTAATACCCCCTGAGCAGGGACTTTTTGCTGGGTAAAATAATGAAACTTAAAGTAGACCCTCCCTTCCTATAAAAGTTTGTATTCCTTGGAATGCCCCTGTGAAAGGAATGTGGCTATTATCCCACATCCGTTTGTCCACTTTGACTTTAGCATGCTTTAATTCTGCCATGCCAGCAAAGTTTGATTGGTTGTGGTTGCTCACAGCTCCCTGATTTCATCTCTGTCTGTGCTTTAGAAAGAACGGCGTCTTCTGGAGAACCTTCGCCTGGACCTGGATGCCTGTAAAACACGTCTGAAGAAGGCCAAAGTGGCTGAGGCTAAGGCTGCAGTAAGTCATTTTGACCCTCTCAGCCCAGTCCCCACACTCACTCCCATAATCATTCAAATGTAATGACGTTTGGTGGTTCTGGCATTAACCATGACTAACTGTTTCTGCATTCATAACCATTGCAGTGCGAGGGTGAAGTAAGTATTAAAGAAATTTCAAAGACTTTCGGTGTGATGCACACTGAATTGTCTCACTTGCTTTGAATTAATTTTTTGTGTTGTTTAGTTACTAGCGACAAGAAGCTGTTAAAGCAACATCAAAAAATAGTATGTATGTAATAGAATATGTTTTCTGGGCAATCATATAGATTAGTGGTTCCCAACTTCACAGGGGGTCTTAAAACATACTCAGTATTTCATTCATCTCTGTGAGGAAAATTAAATTACATCAATTAAATTGTTATTTTGAAAGTTTAGATTTTTATGTAAGATCTGAACTTTGAAGACCTGAACACAAGCTGTATTTACAGAGCCTTCACTCTTAGCAAAAGTAGGCAAGTAGGCCAAGTGTCAGGGAAAAGAAACAAAAAAACAAATTCTGATTAAAGCTGCAGTAGGTAACTGTCTTAAAAACCTTTACTATATCCTGGCAGTAGTATATGAGACAGAAAAAAAATCAAAAATCAGGTTCCTCTGGCTCCTCCTAGTGCTCCTGATGGTATTCGTAAGAATCCACCAGGCCTGAATAAACCAATCAGAACCAAGAAAGACAGAATGATTTTTTCTGGAAACTGGTACAAATCCATTAGAACTTTTGAGAAGAGCACTCTTTACCCTCCAAAATCCAGCAATCCCGCTTTATTCCACATAGAGAAACCAATTTTTCTTTAAATTTATTGCGTTTAGTCTCTTAGAACTCCTCAAACTGAGACATATGGCTGCAACAGCTATAGGCCCAGAAATGCTGTACTTAGAATTCTGCACAAAAAGAGTAATACATTTTCCCACTGGGGATCAATAAAGTATTTTTAATTTCTGATTCTGAAAAATCAGTTTACACATTTTGTTTGTACTACACAAGTACTACGCAAGTACAAACCAAGTCATATGCCTGAAATAAAAGGTCCTGATTGATAATTTTCCTTCCCCATTTCATTATTATCTAGGAATAATTGCTTCTGCTTTTTGGTTTTTCCCTGAACAGAAAAAAAAAAAGTCTGACTTTTATCATAGCTTTTGTTTTCACAATGATGATGACAAAATCACATACTTTGCTGACTGACAAAGTCAGACTTTTGCAATGAGAATGCATGTTAGCATGTGCATGATACACTGCTGCTGACTTGCACTGAAGCTTGTAATATCACTGACTGTCCTGTTTACAGTGGATTAGTCAGGTCAGTGAATTAGACATATTAGTCATTGGTTTCAGTGGGGCTGGAGAGGATGTTTACATACAGTGTTACCTTTTATGAGTTCAGACACACCTAATGTAAAAGTGTGCTGGCAGGTAACTAACAACCTCTCCCATCTTTGTAACCTGCTAGAGCATATCACAGCCCTTTTGAATTAAGAATGTTATTTTAACTAATTTTAAATTTAAGAGGCAAAGGAAATGATAATTAAGGTCAGGTGTTTTGTCTTTATGAAACTAGATTTTAGAAGTAGAACACATTACTGACATGATTTTACATTACTGACATGGTTTACATTAATATATTGATGTATTCACTAATGTATTCATTTAATGGAAAATCTCAAAATCAGCCACTGATTTTAATGCACAGATTAACAGTTTCACAGTTATCTGTGCTGTCTTGTAGTTTAAAGGTCCAGTGTGTAACATTTAGAAGGCTTTATTGGCAGAAATTGAATATAATATTCACAGATATGTTTTTATTAGTGTATAATCACGTGAATATTTGGTGAGTTTGCTAGTTTCGCGGCCACCGTAATTTCTTCTACACACTTGAAACAAGAGGGTGAGGCGAGGGGCTTGCAATCTGCAACTACAGCGCTAGATGCGACTAAATCCTACACACTGGACCTTTTAATGTGTAACTCTTCAAGATCATCATCATTCATTTCTGCTGTGCTTCCTGATTGTCTTGTCTGCATTTCTTGGTGTGTGATGTGTATTGCCATGTATACCTTAAGTAGACAATAGTATGAATGATATATAACCTTACTGTCTCTGTAGATGGCTCCAGATTTTCAGGAGACCAGACCCCGCAACTATGTGCTTTCTGCCAGTGCCTCTGCGGTAAGAAGACATTTCTGCTTTACTAAATAAAACTGGACATGTACAATCATCCCTTTGAAAAGGCCCTTTATGAAAGGCCACCAGAAGTGGGTGGGAAAAGCACTTAACTTTTTATTATTGTCTTAAAACTTTATTAATGTTTCGTCAGGAGGTGTTGCCATCTGGTAAGAATGGTGATTATGAACTCAGAGTTGCATACTAGACCTCTGTGTCATGTCTGATATTATACAGTAGTGATGAAGGGTGGCATACCACTGATAACAAGCGTCTACCTTCCAACAGCCCTCAGGGATGTTGCTCATTAACTCATCTTAGTCTCTATACTTTTCATTTCGTGGTAGATTAAACCAAAAAAAGGATTTCTGCCACCTTTGTTGGAACAAAGCAGGTTTTTCCTCAGACTTTTTACATTTTCTGTTAAGCATACTGCCTTTTTAAACTTGTTTTGTGTGTACAGCAAAATAGTTGGCACAGTGGTGAATTTATTACTGGAAAATTACACATTAAACACAAGAACGAAAAGTAGAGTCACTAGATGGCAGAAGGGATCTTTACAACAGCTTAACTTTTCTCACCTGCCAAAAGCCACCAGCAAGAATGTGGCCTTGTTCTGATACCAATACCAATATCAGAAATTCCTCCGATACTGCTTAAAATACAGTATCGGGTATCGCTGAGTACTCGTGTCTGTGCTCCTATACGATGCCATGTCATTTATTTGCACCGAATCAGGACCCTACTATTTCCCAGTGTAGCAAAGGAAAGGTAAAAATGGCATTGGAACATCTCTAGTGCCAGTGTGTTGATTTCAGTGATCCAAACTGAAAGCTGATTCTGATTGTTTTTTTAATTTAGAATGGAAATTGTGAAATACCTGTCCACTACCCTCTCAAAGGTTTCAAGCCTGTTTCAGCACTGACCACGCGGTTGGGTGTGGTCAGATGTCTTCTTTGTTGCACCCATAACCAGGCAATGTTGTCACAGGGTCAGAGTCCACTTGCACATCACTGAAGCATGGTGAGAAGTTAAACCCCTAGGGGTCAGCAAAAACAAGAATTTTAGGGACTGTTAAGTGCTAAAACAGATAACAATAGAGAAATGATTCACATATGAAATTGATTTGTATTGTGGACATACAGTGTCAAATTCACACGCACCATATTGTCCTTGGAAACTTCTCAAACTGCCCCTGCAACGTAATTCACCTCTCTGATATTGATCCATGTCCTCAGTATGTTCCAAACAATCATTTATTCACTGCTGAAATGTTCGGTTTACTACTTCTTGCGTAGCTTTAAGAGATTTTAAGGGGAAAATAGTGTGTTTAGCTAAGTTGTGGAGAAATTCAAAATCCACTTATGTCTGTCCTGGCTTCACTTTGTCTCTTTCTGTCCTCTAGAACTATCTGTCTGACTGTGTCATGCTTGCCTGACCAGTACTGGATTTTTGGGGCCTCTAGTTTGGCATTTATGAAGTGACGTCTCTTGTTATTTATTGGCCAACATATACAGATATATTGGTGTAGCTCTTATCTATCTGTCGGTCTTTCAGGCATTTCAGAAATGGAATCAACTTTGTCATGAGTGAACTGGCACTCAAAGCGTTCACATTGCAGCTGCTGTCTATTTCCCCACAGCACATTTTCTTCTCTTCTCCTTGTCTCATGTTCACTTTTTCACTCTCTAATGTTGATTATGCTCCTTCTGGGTTTTCTTTCTTGCACGCATTTGGATCACAACTAGCCAAGACACTCATACCAAACTCTGTGGTTTCTCAGCCTCTTGAGGAACACCCAGCTCAAAAAGAATGTGTATCCGCCCTGTGATGTGGATTCACTCAAAAATGTAATGGATTTTTCCTTGTCCCACTCTAAGACATTCCACCAAATTTAATAAAAATCTGGCCAGTAGTTTTCTATAATCCTTCCGACAGACAATCAGATGGCACCAATAACATAACCTTGGTAATACAGCACAGTTACGAACAAGAAACAAAGTCACTGCATCAATAAGAACTGGATTGTTTTCTCTATGAAAAAAGATTCAGGTAAAGCTAGACTGAATAATAAAGAGTAGTAACAAAATGGCTTTTCAATGTGAATATCACACGGGACACAGCTTTCATGGCTTGCCTACACTTACTTCAACATCAAAATACATTCTAACCTTTTATGCCGTCCACTGAGGGTGTGTGTTGCTAGGACAATAGTTTTTTTGGTAATTTAGTAATGAGGTTAGGCACGAGTTGCACGTCACACTAGTGAAGGATGTCTTTGTTATAACTTATCTGTTCTTCTTTCAGCTCTGGAGTGAGGAAGTGGAAAAAGTAAGTGCATCACTGTTGTGGTTGTGAACTTTGTCCCACTCTCTGGTGTCCAGGGATAATGTAAGACCTCAGTATGCTTCAATGAAACTCTTACCAAAGTGTTTATATCTGGTTTAACTGGCCACGAAGGCAGCTTCTGACAAAACTGTCACTCAAAAATGAATGAATTGTAATTGAGAGATTGATGGACAGTCTTTTTGTCAAGCATTTGACAACCATTTTGTTTGTAGCATACTGAGGCCAACAGTTTTTTCAGTCTTACCACTGTTCTGCACATAGTACAGTACAGTGCACAAACAGTCCAGTAATACAAAGTAACTAAAATCCTCCCTCCCGAATGCTCCTTGGTTTAAATTACATCAAATGTGTGTCTTCTGAGGGTTACGGAGCATTCAAATATTTCAGACTTGCTGACCTGTTTAGTTACCAGGTCTTTGAGATGATTTTCATATTATTATCAGCCTACTATGTTAATTATTTTTAAGTCTTGACTTTGGACGTGTAAGTATTCAGAGGGCAATTGCTGACATTCTTCCTGTTGTTTCAGGCAGAACATGAGCTTCGAGTGGCACAAACAGAGTTTGACCGCCAAGCAGAAGTTACACGGCTGCTTTTGGAGGGCATCAGTAGTACACATGTATGTCAGCCATACCCCCTTCCACCACTTATATCATTGTCTCTCTCACACCCACACACACACATACACACAAAGTTCAAGGTTGCATTTGTAGTGGCTGTAGTTACTTTTATCTTCTCTTTTTGTTACATGCGGTTCGTTGAAAAAATCATCCTTTTTTTTATTATTCACTTGGTTTATGTTAGGTTTTAGGTTTTATTCTAAACTTAAATAAGTAATGCATTAATTAAATAATGTAAATGCTGTTAAATAAACATACAACAAGGTTAATACACTATTTTCAGTGTTTTTATTTTAATTTAAATCCTAGAATTTGTCTGTATTTATTTTGAATAAAATGGATGCCAAAAACCCAGTGAAACACTCCTTAAACCTCTTTTATTATTTTTACTTTTTGTAGTTAAGATGAGAACATATAAACCCAGCACAAAGTGATATGCAGCGTCCCTTAACAAGCACATACCCACAATAAAAAGGTTACTCATTTTGAGTACGTAAGTATGATTCTGAACTCTTTGGAAAAGTAATTATCTTGAATTTACAGCTGCAACAGGTAACTTTTATAAAATAACTTTTTCATATGTCATATTTGTTGAAAATGTTCACTGTTTTCTGACATGAGACAGATAATCTGTGAAACAATCAGGTTCCTCTGGCTCCTCCTAGTGCTCCTAATGGTATTTGCAAGAATCCACCGGGCCTGAATGGAAACGACCAATCAGACTCAAGAACTTAAAGACACTCTGGGTTGGAGGCTTGAAAATAGTTGATTGTTTAGACTCATTCCCAGGGTCCCAATGTTTCTGTATTTGAGACTCAACAATCAACTATCTTTCTTTGCTCTGATTGGTTGATTTTGTTCAGGCCTGGTGGATTCTTTCAGCAAATATGACCAAAAAAAATATTTTTATAAAAATTACCTGCAGCTGTGAGAGACAAAGGAAAAAAGCCTCTTTCTTGTGTGTTTTTTATGCACTTCCATTAGAAAATAAGAAACTGTCACAGTGATATTTACACACTATAGTTATATTGTTACACACATTCTCCAGTACACAAAATCTCCTCTTGTAGAATTTCTGCTACAACAGTAATAGGCTACTTACTACATCAGTTGACCAACCCAATGGCAGGCATTAAGAATAAGGATACACAAATCCAAGCCAATAGCCAATCTCGGTGGTCTTATGTAGTAGTATATGTCATATAGAGGCATCAGTATTAAATTGACACTTTTTCATAACCTGTTAAAAACTCCTTGTAGTACATTTAAGTAAAGGATCTGAGTACTTCTCCCTGGAGATGATGGTAAACTCTTGTGTTTCTTCAAAAAAGGCTGTGTTGTTTTTTACCTGCAGGTAAACCACTTGCGCTGCCTGCATGAGTTTGTGGAGGCCCAAGCAGCTTACTATAAGCGGTGTCACTTTCACATGCAAGAACTACAGAAGGAACTGGGAAGGTGAGTCTGATGGGAGATAACATCTGTTGTGTGACTCACACAAGTTTCACCGGCTTTACAGGGTTATCCATTCATCTTCACACAGCACGCAGTGAAAATGACAGTATTGCACACGTACAAGTACATATACTTCACTATATCCTGACAGTAGTATATAAGACAAGAGAGAGATAATTGATTGTTGAGTCTCATTCCCAGCGTCGGTATCTGTATGCCGCTGGGGAATGAGACTCAACAATCAATTATCTGCCATGATGCAGGCACAGCTTGAATGTTTTTCTATTGGACTGAAATGGTAACTTGCCAAGGTGCTTGAGTTCACACAGTCTGCAGCGGGCATCTGCTTCCTAATTGTAATTTATTAGCTTTTAATTAATCAGTTTTTCATGATTAGTATGCCTGATGATGGACTGTAGTTTTAGTTCATGTCAGTGTTGATCTACATCCTGATATTATGTATTGTGAGGAGGCATATAGAGCATATTAGCTATAACATGCACAAGAGCTGCAGGTTTGGAGATGCTCTGACCCAGTCGTCTAACCATCACAATGTGGCCCTTGTCAAAGCTCTCAAATCCTCACGCTGCCCATTTTTCCTGCTTCTAACACATCAACTTTGAGGACAAAATCTTCACTTGCTGCCTGATATGTCCCACCCACTGACAGGAGCCATGATAACCAGATAATCAGTGTTAGTCACTTCAACAGTTAGTACTAACAATCTTATGGCTGATCGGTGTATATGAAATGCCCCAGACTTTGGAGATACATTTATTGTTATAAGTACAAGATAAAAAAAACAAAAAACTTGGATTTGTACCAGTCAGGTCGTATGGATGCCTGTCCGGTCTTGTTGTTTTGAGTTAAATCATGTCAAATAATTTCCACTGTCTTATGCCCTCAGTTTTAATGAGGACGTGTGAGTATGGCTCTCCTTCTTGTTTGTCTCTTGTGTGCGTGTTCTGTCCAACAACTTGCCTGCTTTCCCAAATACATATTAAATATAAATGACCAAATGGGATCAGGTTATTTTCCTTGTTGGCTTTTTATCTAAAGGGGCCTATTTTCATTACAGCGGACAACCGGTGCAAGCAGTGCTGTCCTGTGTGGTATTTGGGTCCCCAGTGCATGGTGCAGTGGTGGGACGAAACAGGTTCATTGAATTCACGCCGTGCAAAGAGAATTGTTGGTATTTTGGTGGAAATTCTGTTCAAACAGTATGCTGAGAGTAGACATCTCAGAACCAAGAATCTGCTGGCACTAAAAACAAAATACTTGCACTCCATATGCAGAAATAACAGAATAATGCTTAAAATATAAATAGACTAATTTAATTAAACATTCTCCAACCACTATGCAGTTAAATTGGCATTTTTTTTATTAGCTTCAAACTGAAATGTCGGTCTGTATGAGTGATTATTCTACTGTCTGTCCACAGCTGCTTCATAATATGTGAAAAGTTTTTGTTCATTCAACCTCTATGGTTTTTAGAAGTCAGAGCGCAGTGCTGTTATGTCCACTGTGTCTACCTTTATTAAATCACATGCACTCCTCAATACCATGTGTCAGGACCTGCTTTTAAACTTTTTTGCAGTTTTTTCTGTTTTATGATTAGTTGTTGAATGCCTTATGGTGCAAACACTGCTTAATCATATTTTACAACATGATGGGACAATTCACAAAGTAAGACAGAGTAGTATTAAGGCTGAAAAAGTTCAACCAAACATTTTTTTATTACTCATTTCTATCTGCATTTTGCTAATTAACTGTAAAACTGTGTGTGTTCACTGCTGCTTCGAACCATCCAGAGTATGATTTGAAGAAAGTGTCTTTGTTGAGCTGTTTTCATACTTCATTGTGATTGGCTCATCTGTTGCAGAGGTATAAGACAAGTGGTGTGTATGAATTAATCCCAGCACCCTCTGATATGTATTCCACTGCAGCTTTTACACATTGTGCTGCTGCACATACATAACAGCCAAACAGCGAATTCACTTGGAGACTTGTCGCTGCACTTCAGCAGTTAAAACAGGGCCCTTAATGTGTTGACTGTAGGAACAGGAATGGGGAAATTACTAATTTGTATGGGTTGTTGAGGAAGAGTTTAATAGTCTCACAGCCTGAGAGAAGAAATTGTCTTTAAGTCTTCTGTACCTCCTCCCAGATAGTAGCAGAGTGAGCAGGCTGTCGCTGAAGTGGGTACTGTCTTTTAGGACCCTTTGGGCTATGCGCAGGCACCTTACCAATATCACTGATGCTGTGTAGCAGAATACCAGTGACTGCAGAGTCCTTCTGTGCCTCAACTTAGCCAGCCTATAACCATCCAAATAAAATGTTTCCATTTTATAAAGTACTGTGTCCTTGGAACCAGTTTTATTAAATACATGAAGTATGGAAGTATTCTCAGTTTCCAGTTGTGTGCTTATTCTGTTTTTACTATTTTTTGTGTTATTTTCGTATATGTTATTGTATACATATGTTCTGATCACCGCATGTGTCTGCTGTCCCTCAGGCTTCCCAATGCATTTGCACTTAACTCCCACCCCTCCGTGGCCACTGCTGGCTCTGCATCAGAAGGCATCAGCAGCCCTGTGGAGACAGACACACTGAAGATTGAGGAAGTCCAGGCACCAGCTACAGGAACCCGCAAGGCCAAAGTCCTTTACGATTACGATGCTGCTGACTCCAGTGAGCTCTCCCTTTTAGCTGATGAGGTGAGGTTGCATTATCTACCTGCAACTAGCAGGACGAATAATGACTGTTGACCACTGGCTAGAAATCTCTCTCTAAACAAAAACCTCACTCGTTGGAATGTGTCTGCCCTTTCTCCTCAAGGTACAGTTTTTTATTTCTGATGTTATTTCTGATGATAGTGGAGTCTGTCTTTACTTAATGGCCCACCTCCCCGACCCTAACGAATCTCATCTCACCCTTTTATCAGCAAAGAGCAATAGAATACATACAGGTAGCAGCTTCTCATGATGGCAAACATCAGACTGGATCAGCTGTAGCTGATTAACATTTAAAAATTCAAGTTTGTCTGTTCAGTTTAGTGTGCTCTCTGCAGCTACATCACTCTGTAACACCGCTATACCACTGACTGTGGACAACAGGGACAAATAGAGTAGTGACTCTCTGGTGACATACATCAACTACAGATATTAACAGCTTGTTTGCACATCACTGCATTCCTGTGAAACAAACTGCAGCAAGACATACATATATATATATTTTTTATCTTAATAAAACCATATTAGTTTAAGTATGCACTATATTTACAATGTAACGTGAAACCCACGCCCTCTTGATGGGGAACTGAAACTGTTATATCCAACTATGCTCTTTTCAAACCTACCAGTCTGACTTTGGTGTTATAACATGTTAGTTTGGACCACCAAAGTCACATAATAACTTTCATGTCAGTCCCTATTGGAAAGAACAAGTCTTTAAATTCAATTCAATTGCTCCTTTTCATAACAAAGAATTACGTCCAACATACGGTATGTTGTGCTGTTGAGGTGTTTGTACCTTTCTCTCTGATGTAATTTCAACTAGCACAGCACAGACTGTCCTCCATCTCACAAGGGGGACGTGTGGCACATATCAGTAGACCACTAATCCATTGTGCTTTTCACTTACTGAATTTTACGTGTCATCAGAATCACATGACTGCAAAGAAGCTATCGAATGTGTCGTATACATTTCATATATGATGCTGTTCATTTCATTTTCAGTAAAAAACTGGTGTTTCTGCCCTCACAGCCAACATAAGGTGATTAGACATCTTTAAGTTGGAGTTATTTTTGGCTTTAGTTACTAGCAAATGTTGAAAAGTTAACCCTTTTAAGATGCAATAAGGAATTACAAAGGATTCAGATTGGATAAGGTGATTTGATGGTGGATTTAGATTTGCTAAAATGCTATTGAATCCTATTGCTGCTGACATTGCAACTGTAGCTTTATGTCAGCTCTGCATTGGTTGCAACATCTCTCAGGCAGATGGATCGAAGTCATGTGTTAAGAGTGCTGTTTTTTTTCTGAACAGGGAAATTAAAAGCTAAGAAATTAAATGAAAGCAGAAGTTGCACTGATTATGACTTCTTTCAAATACAAAGCCAGAGTAACAGATAGAAGAAGTACGCTGTTAATAAGAATAATGACTGAACCATAAACTAAAGACCACCAGAGACTATATGTCATGCGTCCAGATGACCAATATATATATATATATATGTGGTCAGTACCTATCAAAAGGGCTCCAAGGAAGGAAAAGAACCGGAGACAGGGTCATGGGGGGCCGAGGCTCATTGATGCACGTGGGGAGTGAAGGCTGGCCCGTGTGGTCT